GGGTGCCACACAGCCTCCTGATCTATGGAAGGAAGAGCTCTTAATGGTGTATCTTTCCCCCTTCTTTGGCCCATAAGTATCTTTGAAGCCCTTACCAAATATTACCAAAGGCTATTTTTAAGTTAAAAAGAAAAATTAAAGCTTAATTTCACAGTGATATTAAGAATACATTAAAAAAATTACATTTGTAATGAGTAGCTTCTGGCCTATGTTTTACTGCTCAAAATTATCCAGATACCTCACAGAGCTATACCTCAAATTTTCATCTTTTATCAAATCATCAGAATTGATGAAACTTGGGCTAGAAAGAATTTATCAGTTAAAAAATAGGCCAAACTCACCTAAGGTGTTAGAAATTAGGGTGCTGATTACTTTTTAAGGACTGATGACTGGAAAGGGCAGCCAGGGGGAGCTGCTTGGTATTAGTAATATTTTGTTTCTTGATCTGGGTGTGGGTTACACGAGTGTTTACTTTGTGAAAATTTTTCTAACTGTAAATTTAAGACGTGTATATTTCCAATATACTTGTAAAAAGATGCTAAAAAACATGAACCAACACCCATTAATTTGCCATATCACGATCTCCACCTGAAAAATATCTGAGGAAAGAGTCCCTCAGTTGCCACAAACACACTGTCACTTCTGCTTGGAGATTAATTCTTCCTTTTTTTTTTTTTTCAAAACTTTCTTCAGGAAAAGTAAAGTCATTCGAATTATTTTTCAATACACTTTATTCAAAGGACTTTCTTAATGCACGTAAGCATCTTCTCTCTAGTCATAACCGTGCTCATTTCAATTCCTTACATGATGGGTTTGACTTATTCATGTGTTGCAATATGCCTTTATTAAGGGAGCTAAGTCAGGTAAAGTGCTCAGCACGTACCTTGCAGATGGTAATGACTCCATAATGGTAGCCATTAGCATTGTTATTATCTGCCATGCACTCTAGTGGAAAGACTAAACTTTATTTTCAAAGTCACCCTCTAAATTATTACTTGGTAGTGAAGAAACTTACTTCTTAAAGCTATTGTACTTCTTTGTATGGAAGATGGTATACACGATACAATGAAATAATAAAAATCATGGTAGAGTTGATAATGTAGATCACTAAAAGAGAACGCTGGGTAAAAGGCACACAACAGAGCCCCTCAGTATCCATGGAGGATCAGCTCCAGGGCCTCCTTGGACACCAAAATCTGTGAGTGCTCAAGTCCCTGATATAAAGCGGCATCTCATTTTCATATAACCTATGCACATACTCCTGTATGCTTTAAACCATCTCTAGATTACCTGTAATACCTAATACAATATAAATGTTATGGTAAATAGTTGTTATACTTTATTGTTTAGGGAATAATAACAAAAAAGAATATCTGCACATGTTCAGTACAGACACAATTTTTAAAAAATATCTTTGATCTGCAGTTGGCCAAACCCACACATCTAGAACCCACGGATACGGGGGAGGGCTTGACTGTGTCCTTTATAATGCAACAAAGCCTGAGATTTTTCCAGTAGTGGGAAAATATCTCAAGGTATCAAATGATAAATTTCTTCACCCTTTCTTTCCACCTCCCTATAATCAATTTTCATTTCTCATATCCTTTCGGTTTTATCCCCAACCCAACAACGAGACATGTGTCACTTACTGCTATGGCAGAAGAAAGAGCCACTATTGAATTACAGAAAGAAATAAGCAAAAGTTGAAAAAGCTGATTTAGGTTTGAGAAAGGAAGAGTCCAAAGTATATCTGCAAAGTGAATTTAGTCCCCTCCAGTAACTTAAAACTCCCACATGAGCACAAAGACCAGCGTGGAAGTAGGAAAATGAGAACACCAGATTTTCCCTAAGTGTGGAACACCACCAGGGAGCTTGTTAGAAATACAACTTCTCAGGCCCCGCATCAGACTTAAGGACTTGCTAACACTCCATGTCATTCCGGTGTATGCTAAAGTTTGAGAACAAATACTTAGGGTAACTAGTGCCGGGGAAGCTGTATGGGAGGGGTACTATATTGCTGTCAGTACTTATCTTCAGAACACTACCAAACGACGTCAGCTGGTCTTGCACCTGGGGACCTTCAGCAAAAATGAGGTCTGCCTCAACTCCCATATTTTGCTTGTCTCCCCAACTGCCTTATCTTACAAGACAAACTGCCCTTTTCAATGGATGTGGATACTTGGAAGCCCCCCTCAATGGCAAGTGGAGCCCTGATGTCTACGAGGTGGATGAAGGTGAGGCAGAGAGACACAAGTCCATGAAGGAATCAGCTCAAGAGTTCCCACAAAGGCAGGTATGAGTGGATTTTTTTTAAACACCAGCATATTAAAACATTTCTGGTGAAAAGATCTGTACACTTCAAGGATTAGGTTTAAAAAGACCTTTCCCTGGTCAAAGAAATTAGGCGACAATGAAGAGGTAAAAAAAATTAGGCATACAGACATTTTCCATATCAGCCTAAGACAATGTTATGTACAAAAACTTATGAAATATATGTCATATATAAATACCATAAAATATATGCATATGTGATTAAATATTAATGGAAAATCAGGCAAAATATTCTTAATATTGATTACTTCTAAAGAAGAATGGGTTAGTGAAATGAGGAGAGTAGTTTAGATTTTACTTGATAACTTGCTCTCAGTGCCTTTTTTCCAAAAGCATTACTATTAAATATTTTTAAAGAAATCAAGTAGTCACTGATGAAATTAGATGCAAAATCTTTTTGTGGTTAACTTAAATGGCTCACACGCATTTACAGCTGACTGTGTTTGTTAATCTTAGTTGGCACATCAAGTGGAATATATGTGTTAAGAATGGTTTTGCTTGTTCTGTATCTTGCTGCAAGGTGTCATGGTACATCACATAAGTTCATGACTAGACCGTACAATTTGAAAAGGGAAATCTATCCCAGCTTCTTTTGTGCCTCTGACTTCAATACTAATATTTGTCTTTTCCAATACATTAATTTTGACTCCTTCATCAGCTACTATTGAGAGTTTTTTCTCCCATAGTACATAAAAATGTACTTTATTTTTTCCTTTTTGTCTTTTTTTTTCGTGGCCAGCAACGGGATCGCAACCCTCGGCGTTGCCCCCGCACCTCGCTCAGCCAGTGAGCGGCCGGTCTGTATGTGGGATCCGAACCCTGCGCTTCCCAAGCGGCGCACTATTGCAGTGCGCCACTGGGCCGGCCCTAAAAATGTACTTTAATAGAACTTTTATAAAATGGACTTCTCCGAGGCAGGAGAAAAGGCCTTGAATGAATCCCGTGTTGTACTGGATTAGAGTTAGAAACATCATATGAACTCACATTTAGCTTTGTATAAATACAGATAGATATAATTATACATACCTATATTTTCTAGATCAGCTGAGAGAGCCTAGAAGCAATGTCACCCTAGTAGCGACTAGTTTACCCAGCGCCCAGATCATGATTTCTCACACCATTCTCCAATACAATGAAGGGGGCTCCTTAGAGAAATGGCTGATTCTGCTACTGAGCAGAGAATATACAAGATGAGCCTAGAGCGTCTTGTAGAGTCACACAAAGATGGGAGCATATCAAAGAGACACAGAAGCCAACTTGGAAGAGCTCACAATATCAAAGCTGAAACAATTTGATCAACAAAATAAAAGTATAGTAATTACAAAAAATATCCCTGAGTTCATCATGATACAGAAGATTTGATAAGTAAATGAGGGAAAAGACAAATCTCCCATGCAGATTTTCAAATAATTTATATAGATACTTCCTGCTCAAAAGAGGTAGAGCTTACTGCCCTACCCCTTAAGTGTGGGCTATCCTTAGTGACTTGCTTTCAAAAAGTAAGTATGGAAAGAGGGAAAATGTTACTTTACAATGGAGGAAACTGGTA